GGGTCCCTTCTCGGCACACGGCAGCGTCTGCGCAGCGCTGGGTGCGCCCTAGGGCCCTGCGAGCGAGGAGGAGACGAGGAAGGACAGAAGGGACCATCTCTCCCGCCAGCTACCACGTCCAAGACTCACCCACCCACCCCGCCCCTGCTCAGAGCAACAAAGCATGTCTGCCTGCTGCTGGCAGAGTGAACATCTAACCATCTCTCGGATTTACTAATAGCAAGGGTTTCCTGCAGCAGCAAGTTCCGCAGGTTCCCTGTATACAGCAGGAGACGCACTCACTCCATGCAGGACCACTGGGGGTGCAGAGTTCAGGGAAGACGGAAATCAGCAAAACAAATCATCCTCAGCTTCATCCCTATAGCTCACGATCCCCCACATTGTGCAGATGGGGAAACCGAGGCACAGAGGTGGGGACAGAACCCAAGTCTCCTGAGTCCCAGTTGAGTGTTCCCATAATAAAATCCACTCTTGAGAGTCCGAGCGTTTCTGTGCGTCGTAGTGCCCCTGGCTAGCCCCGCCCCACCCCGAGATTTCTCACCTAGGTTATCCAGCCCGTGGTAGTTCACGACGGAGCCAGCGAGGTCGATGGCCTCCACGGGGACGTCTCGGAACTGCAGGAAATCGGAGTTGAACGTCCCGTGCCGCTCCGCACGGAACCAGCGCTCTTGGCCCTGAAACCTGGACGGAAAAAAAAACAGCATTGGGGAAACCGAGTCAGGGTGAGTCGCAGCGAGATGCAACACAGCCCCGGCAGCGGGAGCCAGGCCTTGGCTGAGCAGGGTCCCTGGGCTGGCCCAGATCCCCGGGGCTTGTCCGAGCGCATGGGTACCTCACTCCGCCATGGAGGGACAGGGCAAAGTAGGCTGCGGCGATGTTGTCTCCGTAGAGATTTCTGGTGTAACCGCAGTACCTGGCAAAAGGAGAGGAACGCTCACAACGGTTTTCACCACACCACTAAGATAATTCACTCTTCCAATTTCACCACTGCCACGGAGCAGGCCCCAGCGCCGCACAGACACGGGCCGTGTTCCAGAGACACGACAGGCGGGAGGGCGCCACGGAGGCCCTGCAGCGCGTGTGGTTTGCCCGGCTGCTACCTGCTCAGCACAGCTGGCCGAGTGTCTCATTTGTGGCTGGGGGGGGGGGGCTGGCGCACATCTGCTTCAATCCATGGGGCCCAGAGCGCGGGCCATGGCTCACTGGAGCCTAGGGGGGTTTTCTGGTCTGTGTCTGTGCAGCGCCTGGCACACGGGGACCCCTCGTGCCGCGGTACTCGCGTAAAAAACTCGACTAACCACCCCGAAGTTACATGCCACCCAAGAATGAAACCCAGCAGCCAGCTCGGCCACTCTCCGGCATGATACGTCAGGACTGGAGACTTAACGATTCCCATGAGCTGCTAGAAACTGGATGGAGACCCAGAAATCCCACCGCTGCCACCATCAGCTGGGAACAGCTTCTAGTCCCGGGGGCAGCTGCAACTCCCGTGTGTCATAGATACATCGAACAACCCTCCCCATGCCTGGCCGCTCAACCCAGCTCTGGTCTGGGTCCATGACTTGTACTTCCCAAATTCCACTGTGTCTCCTGCCTGTGACCCTCTGGTCCCATGACCCTGCTTGACTAGCTCTCAACTGGAGACGCTCGCTCTGCCTTCTAGGTCTGGCTGACAGCTGGGCCCTTGACTGGCGGTCCACAGAGGCAAGGTGGCTGGGCGGGATGGGAATGGGGTTCAAGGCCTGTGAACAGTTTCAAGATCTTGAAAAAGTTTCCCCCTTGGAACTAGGCCAAGAGGGCAAATCTCCAAAACTTCCGAGCTGACAAACGGAACCAAGAAACGTGGCTCGGCTCCACAGAAACGTTTTCTTACATCAGAAGTCGCCCTGATTCCTTTCTGACCTTTTTACTTGAACGTTTGTAATCAATGAAGGGACATTTCTAAACAAAAACGTTCCCAAACGAAAGATTTGAAACGTCCCGTTTCAAAAGCTTTCTCCAGCATTTTCGTCGTGCTGGGAAATTCAGCAAAACGGACCCTGTCCGGCGAGCGGCTTCAAATGCGACAAATGGGCATAGGAAACGAACAAGTTAACAATTGCTTAGAAAAGTTACACGCCTTCAAGTGCCAGGGCCTGATGAAACGCACCCTAGAATACTCGAGGAACTGTGAAAGGCGGCATCTGAGCCTCTAGCTATCATCTTTGAAAAATCATGGAAGACGGGAGATTCCAGAAGACTGGAAAAGGGCAACGGGACGTTTCAAATCTTTCGTTTGGGAATTTTTTTGTTTAGAAATTTCACTTCATTGATTACAAATATTCAAGTAAAAGATATATAGTGTCCGTCTATAAAAAGGGGAATAAGAACAACCCAGGAAACTACAGATCAGTCAGTTTAACTTCTGTGCCAGGGAAGATAATGGAGCAAGTAATTAAGGAATCATCTGGAAGATAATAAGATGACAGGTACCAGCCTGCATGGATTTGTAAAGAACACATCATGTCAAATCGACCTGATCGCTTTCTTTGATAGGATAACGAGTCTTGTGGATAAGGGAGAAGCAGTAGACATGGGATACCTAGACTTTAGTAAAGTATTAGATATAGACTCCCAGGATCTTCTTATCAATAAACTAGGGAAATACAACTTAGAAGGGGCTACTCTAAGGTGGGTGCAGAACTGGCTGGATAGCCGCTCTCCGAGAGTCGTTATTAACGGCTCACAGTCAGCTGAAAGGGCAGAACAAGTGGAGTTGGGCAGGGTCTGCTTTGGGACCGGTTCTGTTCACTATCTTCATCAACGATTTAGATATTGCCATAGAGAAGATGCGTATTAAGTCTGCAGATGATCCCGAGCTGGGAGGGGTTGCAAGTGCTTTGGAGGGCAGGGTCAAAATTCAAACTGATCTGGACAAATTGGAAAACTGGGCTGAGATAGAGGATGAAGTTCAATGCGAAGTGCTCCACTTCGGAAGGAACAATCAGTTGCAGGCACATAAAAGAGGAAGCGACGGTCTCGGAAGGAGCCGGGCAGAAAGGGATCTAGGGGCAGCGTGGACCACACGCTGAACATGAGTCAAGAGGGCGACGCTGTTGCAACAAAAGCAAACCCGAGTCTGGGCTGCATGAACAGGCGTGTTGCGAGCCAGACACGAGGAGTCGTTCTTCCGCTCTGCTCTGCCCGCTCAGGCCTCGGCCGGCGCCCCTGGGCATCCCAAGCAGAGGGTCTGCGCGTCTCTGCCTAGGTGCCCGGCCGCCTCCCCCCCCACACGTTTCCAGTCCCCGGCTGCACACGAGACCAAGATGGCGGCAGCCGGCTCCCGTTCCAGGCCCCCCCCCCCGGAGAGCCCCGGGCTGTACACACGCGTTCTTGCGGCGCAGGTTCTTGAAGTGAAGCTTTGCGCTCCAGTCGACGAGGGACTCGATGTCGTAGAACCGGCTGCAGAGGTACCGGAGGAAGCGCTGCCTTAGTGGCTCCGAGGCGGGGGGGGGGGCGGGCCGACAG